CCCTTTAAAATAAAAACAAGACAGAACGTTTGTCTTTTGACGGTTTATTAGTAAAATATGTTTTATTGTGTGTAAAGCTGACAGAGGTCAAGAAGTGTGTGATGGAGGAGGAGTCGTGTTCACAGCAGCCACAGGGACGATGATGCTGCTGCTGGTGATGAAGATGATGATGCTGGTGATGATGAAGATGGTGATGATGATGGTGAAGCTGGTGGCAGAGATGAAACTGATGAAGATGCTCAGTTGAAGCGGACGCGGCGCATGGAGCCCACCGTGTTGTTCTGGCTGCCCCAGTCAGAGAAGTTGTTGTAGTCACGTTTCTCCAGAATGTAGTGAGGCCCCCTGTAGTTTGGCTCCTGGTACACCACCCACCTACACACACACACACACACACACACACACACACACACTGTTACATGTCTGTGACTGTGAGCAGAGAGGGGGCGGGTCACTGCAGCTGCTGCACTCACGCTCCTCCGAGGACCCGGATGGAGGCGACTCTGTTGAGGCTGTAGCGGCTCATCAGGTTGGGGATGTCGTCCTGGATCTCCATCTTCTTCCCGGAGTAACCGGCTCGCTCGAACAGCTGAGCTCGGGCCGGGTTGTTGTCCTGGAGGTGACAGACGTTCAGACACATGTGTTCACGTGTTCACGTGTTCAAGTTACAATAACATGATTCAACGTTGAGTCATTGAAAACGTCTCATTGTATTTATGTTTATTATTATTTGATTAAAGTCGATTTGATTCTTAACGACTCATCTTCTAACTTCTTCTAACAGGAACTCAAACTTTGTTTCATGAATAACTCGACGTGTTGAATCTCTTTACCTGTTTCCTGGCTCTAATCTAAACATGTAGAAAGTTTATCTCAAACCTTCGAACTGATGTGATCCAGCTTCGTGTCTCACCTGTTTGACGGAGCGGACCGAGGACACGTGGTCCACCTGAGCGCACCACTTGTCGTAGCAGTTGTACTCTCCTCGGTCCGACATGTCCCACAGGTACTGACGGCCCCTGAAGTTCTCATGCTCATAACCGATCCACCTGAAGACACGAGTCAGAGTCAAAGAGGCAGAGAGGCAGAGAGTCAGAGAGTCAAAGAGTCAAAGAGTCAGAGAGTCATAGAGTCAAAGAGTCAAAGAGTCAGAGAGTCATAGAGTCAAAGAGTCAGAGACAAAGAGAGTCATAGAGTCAGAGACAAAGAGAGTCAAAGAGTCAAAGAGTCAGAGAGTCAAAGAGTCAAAGAGTCAGAGACAAAGAGAGTCATAGAGTCAAAGAGTCAGAGACAAAGAGAGTCATAGAGTCACAGAGTCAAATAGTCAGAGACAAAGAGTCAGAGAGTCATAGAGTCAAAGAGTCAAAGAGACAAAGAGTCATAGAGTCAGAGAGGCAGAGAGTCAGAGTCAAAGAGTCAGAGTCAAAGAGTCATAGAGACAAAGAGTCAGAGTCTCTAGTGAAAGCTTTATATTTTATTTTCCTCTGTTTTCTTCTTCACGTGTTTCCTCTTCAGCCTCATTCTGACTAAATAATCTTCAGTTTGTATTGATGCATCATTTCTCTGTAGCTGCAGTGACGTGTGCTGAACTCTAGTTGGCGCTGTGGACTTACGCTCCGCTCTCCACCTGCACAGAGTTGCATCTCTCTGGGAAGTTCTTGTCACTGAGTCTGGCACAGTCCGAACTCAGGTCCAGTCTCCGGCCCGCAAAGTTCCTCTGCTCGAACAGGGTCACCTGAGGTCACAGAGAGTCACACGTTCACACAGAGAGTCACACGTTCACTCAGAGAGTCACACGTTCACACAGAGAGTCACACGTTCACACAGAGAATCACTCGTTCACACAGAGAATCACTCGTTCACACGTTCACACAGAGAATCACTCGTTCAC